AAGCGTTGACATTCATGTCGGCGAACAGATATACAACAAATGCATTTGTGGTCTATTGTTGGACAAAACCAAGATTGTGAGCACTCATCACCACAATTATCTCGTAAAAGCAGATCTGGTCTTGAAGTTAGAATCGGGACAAATCGTGACATCGGGTTCACCCGAATCTGTCCTTAAATTCAAAGACAAATCCAAAAAAGAAGAAAAGAAATGCGACGAAGACTTGACTACAATTGAGGACAACATTGAAAATGAGTTAAAACTTAAAGAAGAAGAGAGGGAAGAGGGGGTCGTTAAACTCGATGTGTATATAACTTATTTGAAATCCGTTGGTCTATACCTCTCGTGTCTGATAATAATTTCCATGTTATTAATGCAAATATCGAAGAGTGCGTCCGACTGTTGGCTCGCATTTTGGACATCAAATAAACGATCAGATATGAGCTCTTCGACCAGTTATCTGATAGTCTTCATCTGCATAGCGGCCGCCAATTCAGTTCTCACTCTAATTCGTTCGTTTATATTCGCTTACGGAGGAGTAGTGGCGGCTCTAAAACTACATTCAATGTTATTGATTAAAATATTTAGGGCCCGCGTCTTGTTCTTTGATTTGACTGCTTTCGGCAGAATTATCAATAGATTCTCGTCCGATGTGTTCAATGTTGACGACGGCCTTCCCTTTACGCTGAATATATTCTTGAGCCAAATGTATAGTTTGTTGGCCTCATTACTCATTACAGTGTATGGCTTACCATGGATTGCACTTCTTATTATTCCCCTATCGATACCATATTATTTTATTCAAGTAAATACAATGCTTAATGAAATCTATTATTTATATTTATTATTTTGAGTTGAGATGAGATATCTATTTATCGCACAATATTATAGCGCTATTATCGATGGACTTCTAGGGAACTGAAAAGACTTAGCGCAGTTTCTTTGTCTCCTATATATACGCAGGTATACAAACTTATAATTGATTAAAATGTATACACGGTATATACTTTTATATTTAATTATTAAAATTTAATCACATTCTGAATTCTTGATCAGTTGGACGAAACTCTTCAAGGATTAGTTACTATCAGAGCATTTGCCAACACTAATAGGTATTTTTTGTTAGATTCTTTGAATTCGTATACTTTTAAGTTGTAAAACAAATTATTTTGTTGTTTTAATAACTTTTTTTTATATAACTCACAATTATTATATACATTGGGATTATATTAAAAACTCTACATAAATAGGTTTATGCGTGAAATGTACCGAAAATTAGACGTGAATAATAAGATTCAGTACTCGAGTGGTGCTGTCGGCCAATGGCTTAATCTTCGGTTACAATTGTTAGGGAATCTTATCTCCTCCGGTGTGGCACTGCTCGCAGTGGGCCTTCATTTTTGGTTACATCAGACACTAGACTCGGGTTTAGTTGGATTAGCGCTCGTCTATTCACTGTCGGTCACTGGCCTTTTGAATGGTGCCGTCCAATCATTCACACAGACAGAGATGGATATGGTTTGCGTCGAAAGGATTATGCAATACATAAATAATATAGAAGACGAACAATCAATAGATTGTGAAGACCGACAAACTGTAGACAATTGGCCGAACAAAGCGATTGTTT